CGTTAGGAAACAAAACTTCCAGAACACGGCCACACAGCCCGGAAGACCCACACCAGCCCTCTTGTGTGCGTTCAGACAGACGCTCTGCCTGAAACTCTTCCCGCACTCAAAACACTTGTAGGGTTTGGCTCCTGTGTGGATCCGGTAGTGATTCTTCAGCTGCCTGCTCTTTCCACACTCAGAGCATTTATAGGGTTTGTCACCCGTGTGGATCCTTTGATGGATTTTGAGGTATGTGTTGTGGCTGTAATAATTTCCATACTCGCAGCATTCATATGGCCTCTCCCCCGTGTGAGTTTTTTGATGACTCTTAAGGTACCCACTCTGACTGAAGCCCTTTCCATACTGGCATTTGTACAACTTCTTGGCCATGTGAATTTTTTGATGTGTTTTAAGGTTGGTGCTCTGAGTGAAGCAGTTTCCACACTGAGGGCATTTATAGGGTTTCTCTTCCATGTGGATTCTCTGATGGCTTTTGAGGTGTGGGCTGTAGATGAAGCTCTTTCCACACTCATCACAAGCATAAGGCTTCTGGCCAGTGTGGGTTCGTTGGTGCAGATTAAGTTCCGAGCGGCATCTTAACTGGGCGGCACACTCAGGACATTTGTATGGTTTCTCTCCAGTGTGGATCCTCTGATGGGTTTTAAGGTGGGAGCTCTGAATGAAACTCTTTCCGCACTCTAAGCATCTGTACGGCTTCTCCCCGGTGTGGATCCTCTGATGGGACTTGAGACTTACACTATGCCCAAACATCTTTCCACACTCGAAGCATTTGTACGGCTTCTCCCCGGTGTGGATCCTCTGATGGCTCTTCAGCTGGGTGCTGTGAATGAAGTTCTTGTTGCACTCGAAGCATTGATACAGTTTCTCTCCAGTATGGATTCGTCGATGGATCTTGAGGTTCGTGCTCTGCTTGAAGCTTTTTCCACACTCAGAGCATTTGTGCTTCTCTCCCGTGTGGATTTTTTGGTGGGTCTTGAAGCTTTTGTACTGGATGAAGCTTCTCCCACAATCAGGGCATTTATACAATTTCGCCCATGCTTTAAGCTGTTGAAAAGTTTTTCCACCCTCCGAATGTTTATAGGGCTTCTCCATCTGGAATCTCTTGTGCAAATGAAGGTTTGTTCTGGGGCTGCACTGTTTCCCGTGCTGCCAGCCTGCACCCATTTTCTGGCCACCGGGAATGCCGTGATGTTTGCTGGGGTAAGAATCCTCCTGCTCCTTCCCCAGATTTCCAGCATTCTTCTGGTTCTTCTCCAGATGTAATTCAGGCCCTCTGAAAACAACAGGCTGGTTTCTGCACTTCAGTTTTCGTTCTGTTTTCATTTTTTGCAGCTCTCCTTCATGACTGGGCTCTCTCCTTCCTCCTGGAGGAACCCCCAAAAGTAAACTGATCAGTGGGGAATGGATCCCCGGATTAGGAAATAAACATTCTGCTCCTGCTGCCTTTTAGCCTGCTTGCTCTTAACCTGCACCTTTACGCTATGCTTTCGATCACAGGTTTCTCCAGGCACCAGTATTTTCTATTTATTTACTTAAAAGATTCATACGGCCACCCATCTCAGAGCACAACTTTGGGCAACTCAGAATAACAAAACCATAAAAGGAAACAAAAACTAAAACTTACTTAAATCCTAAGTCCTCTGGTGCTCCATAAACCCAGAAAGAACTTAATTTAAAGGGATCTTGGAGTTCTCTGCTTGTACCAGCCATCCTGGGATCTCCAGTTTCCAAATGTCTGTGCTGCAACTCTTTTTTCCCTCCCTTTGGGGCCTGGTGCATTTCCTGGACATCATTTCATCTCTGCTAAAAGGGACAGACTTTCACCCGCCTTCCCAATATATCCATCACTTGAAAGCCTTCTAATTATCCTTGTGATAATCAGCAAACTTATTTCAGACTGTTAGAAAACAGCACGGACCCACGTGAGTTAAAGGTGAGATTGCAGATTGTGGACCTCTCTTTCAGGAGCGTTATCGAAAGACGGCCTTTGGCCCTGCAGCAAGCAGTTCATCCGTTTAAGGCAGGAGTTTGGGTTTACACCACAACCTGGACTGAGGAACCTTTGCAGCCCACGCGGAAGGGACCCCACCAGGTGCTGTGAACTACCCATCCCTCCCTGCAAGCGGAAGGAATAGAAACTTGGATCCACCGTTCTCGGGCCAAGGGAGCACAGGAGCCTTCAGGGTGGCTCCCCCGGGAGTGGGCACCTGAGACGAAATGAGCTGGCCTGTTGAACCTGTTGAGGACCTGAAATTCTCATCCAAGAGACACAAGTGAGTGGGCCAGGATGGCCTCCTCCCTTAATGTGGTTACGGCTTGACCAGGATTAGTGCTCTGGACATTTCTACTAACTAACCTCTTCCTTTCGCAGCAAGATGCTGCAGGTGACTCTTTTGCCGTGCAGAACACGTCTTGTACTTGCACCCCTGCCCGCCACAGTCAGGGCCCCCCTGTACTTACCCTGCTGTACCAACCACTGCCTATTTGGGTTGCAGGAAACACCCAGGTTGTTCTCCACGGGAGCTTGTAGCCGAGGGACAAGGTGGTCCCCTCCGCTGCATATCACCTTCCACCACAACGGGGCGACGTATGTTGAGACATAGGACCGCCCATGCTGAGTCTCAACTCCCCAGGAGCCTTTTCACCCCAATAGTTATCCATGCAGCCCCGATAATGACACCTTAATAATAGCCACCCAGTTCCCCCCATGCCGTGGGTTCGATATTAAAGCGTTTAGCGTTCCAGCCTTTGAAGAAGTTCCTAGCCCCTCCTTCCCAGCGAGGCCCCTGAGCCTGGCACCAGCCACCTCGCAGTGCCGCATCTGCTTTTTCCTACCGAAGGCAGGACCGGCTTTCTTGCCTCCGCGTTGCTTGTGCTGGAAAAGGCCCAGCACTCGTGCCTTGAACCTGGAGACCCAGTTGGGGGAGTGGGAGGAGGAGGGCTGCCCTAAAAGGAGAGGGAGGCAAAGCAGGATCTCTGGCCACCCCACCCCTCGGGCTGCTCCTTTTGGGGACAAAAATACCAAGGGCAGAAAGCAAGTCAGGAACGGTGAGCAGAGGAGGCCAAAGGTGGGGGTGGGCCAAGACGAAGAAGTTTGGGGCCCAGGAGGGGAGCCTTTTCTGCCGTGGCCCCTGCCCTGTGGAACAACAGCCCTGCGGAGATCAGACTGGCCTGACCCTGCTGGGCTTGCGAAGGCCTCAAAGACCCCGGTCTTTGCCCGAGTCTGGGGCCCCGGGTGCGTGACGGAGCCCCTCTGCAGGAGGGTCATGGCCTTTTCTGGTGATTCTTTCTGGCTGCTCTGTGTTGTGTTGTTGTTATTTGGTGTGTGTTAATTGCTGATGCAGGCTGGGTAACTGAGAATGGCAAAGAGCATCAGAAGAAGTCCGTATGTGCTCCCTTGATTGTAGAGAGATGGTCGATTGTGGAGAGTGCTGAGAAAAGCGGGGATCCCGGAAGATCCCCTGGTCCCCGTGAGAAGCTTCTCCGCAGGCCAGGAAGGCCGATCCGGAGGGCACCCGGGCTCCAGGTGGCGGAGGAGGGCAGCCAGGCCGCTTCCTCTCCCCTCCTTTATTCAGCCGGCAACAAGGGGTCATGTGCCACAGTGGCCAGGGGGCCCCCATGGGAGGTTGGAGAGAAGAGGCTGGGGATGATGGGCTTGGAGAAAAGCCTCCCACCAGTCTCTCCCAAAGGTAGCCTTCCCCCAGGAGGGACCCCTGTCCCCCCCCAAACTGACCCAGAAGCCAGAAGGAGCCCTGGATCTCTGGCTCTGCCCGGTCTTTGCCAGGGAAGGACCAGGCACTCCTTCGGAGTCCCAGCAGCTCCACCCTGGAGTCCCCCGTGTGATGGAAAGATTTGATGAAGGCCGCGCTCAGGCGCTCAGGGAGATAAGCGCTTCCTTGGCCCTCAGCAGGAGCGTGGGAGGTTTAAGAAGATGAGGCTGGCACCACCCTAACGAATTCACGGTGTTGTGGTTGGCTGGCTTGGGAAGTTTAGATTCGGTCTGGAGAGATTTCTGTCTTGAGGTGGAAGCTAATAAACGCAGCAAAACTGTATTTCACTGTCTCGTGGAGTTCTTTGGGCTGAACCCGACATCACCCTGGGACCTTAAGGGAGCTTCAGAGGGCATCTAGTCCACCCCTCCAGGCCCACAGAGGAAAGGAGAGCCCGGCTGGGAATCCCGGGAGAGCAAAGGAAGGGGAGGGTCCCCCCCAGAGCTGCAGCCCCCCACGACGGAAAGGATCCCCCCTCCCACTTTCTCCGCTTCTTTCTCCGCTCGGAACTATCTCCTCCACTCGGCGAAGTCCAGAGAGGCTCTGCCCGGAGACCGATGATGCAGCGGAAGGGAGAATTCCCATTGGTGCTTTTATTTGTTCGGGGAACCCCCAACGCTAACATTTGAGAGAAAAGCGCTTCCTCCCCCAGTCCAGACCCACCGGATTCCGCCTCTGGGGCTGGAAGCATCTGCATCTTTCACCTCTCTCTTGGGGTTTGCTTGTGGGGCAGCATCCATGGGCTCTGCTGGGGTCTCCCTGCTGCTGCTGGTGGGGATGCTGTCCCGGATCCCTGGAAGCGAAGGGGGGGAGGAGCCCCCCCCCGTAAGGAGGGGGCTGGGAGGGACCCCCTGATGCTGGTGGGAGGGGGGGGAAGAAAGGGGCTGG